TAGGGGGCACGGAAACGTCGGTTTCAGGAATGCTGTTTGCGGATGATTTTGTCGGTATGTCGGACACCCCTGAGGGACTGCAACTGCAAATTGACGCGGCAAAGAAGTTTACTGATAAGTGGAGATTGTCTGCCAACGTTCAGAAGAGTGCCGTCATGGTATGCAACGAGAACAAGGAGGAACCAGCTGAAACATTTGAAATTCGGGTTCAGACGCCTCTTGCCATTTCTTGGGAAGTAGGGGGCGGGCTCTTCCAAGAAGCGGCGCAAATTGAAGGTCTCATCAGCAGCGTCACGAGCATATGCGTGTCATCGTCATCCGATGCTGCAGCTAGGAGCTAGACAAGTTGTTAGATTTCCCCAGATTGGCTATTCCTGCCTCAAACTGTTACAGGGCGGTTTGGCCTCGGGCGGTGGGCTCTCTGCTGTAGCTTCTGCTCGCCGCTGTAACTCCACATCGAGAGACTCCCACAGGATGACCAGGGTATCTGCTTGTTGCTACGGGCTGGCCCTTCAATTCAAGCTACACAGCAAGCTCCACCTCTCAGCAGTAGTCCAGCAGCAGCGCATCGCGCAATCTCGCTCTCAATCAGATGCTTCGCTCTCAATTTCACCAATTTGCTGTTAAAAGCTCTCGTAAGTGCCAAACTTCGACGTTAGCACCGTTGACGAGAGGGAAAGGGACGGCTGGACCCTTCCCGCGATAAAAAAAAAAGTTCAGCACGCACCGCAGGAGGAAGGTGGGGCATGAAAAGAACTACAGTCGAGGGACCCTTTTAGTGCTGGTTGAATAGTGCCAGATGCCCGGTATAGTGCCGGTAAAATCTCTGCACACAGGCGGAGCTCTCAATAGTGCCAGACCGGCACTAATTAAAGCATGCCCGATATAGTGCCGGTTCGGCACTGCTGTCACCCCCAATAGTGCCGNCACTAATTAAAGCATGCCCGATATAGTGCCGGTTCGGCACTGCTGTCACCCCCAATAGTGCCGGTACTCCGCACGCGCGAAACACACACACGCACAACTTCCCCAAACAACAAGAAACGTAGGGCTAGGGAAGAACTGCCCTATTTTTTTTGTCGAAATGAGGATCAGAATGATGGTAGCGAAAACAAGGAGGACACTGGTGAAAGTACT